GCCGAGGGCCGGACGCACAGCCGGGAGGCGGAACCGAGGGCCGGACGCACAGCCGGGGGTGGTGCCGAGGGGCGGAGCTGAGGGACGGACGCACAGCTCTGGACCTAGCAGGCCGGATGCGGACACGTGGGACCCACCCCCAGTGCACCTGGGAAAGTCTGAAAATGCGCCAACTGGACGCCCTTCAGGTTCAATCAGTAAAGAGACTCAATGATGTCCTAGTAGATGCCAGGCTCATCAGGCAGCCCCCGGCAGGGTGAACAAACTCTCCCAGGGGACACAGCACACAGCCCGGCGTCCCAGTCCCCGCCGGGACGAACTCAAGTGTCCCCATCCTTCCTTGTCGGGGGCCCATGTGTCTCCGTCCTGGCTCATGGGCCCCGCTGCGCTGTGAACTCCTCAAACTCCCCTTGCTTTCCGGCTGTGACAGTTCTGAGTGCAGGCTGGGTGTCTGCAGGACGCCCCAACGTTGGGACTGGCCTGATGTTTGTCTCAAGGTGAGACTGCTCTCAGAGCCTCCTTAGCTTCTGAATCAAAGCAGCACCTTCCTTGAAAAATCCACATTCCTATCTTTTTGGGGGATTCTGCAACTGCCAAAACAAGCAACCCCAAACCCTGCCCCAACTTTCTAACTTCAGACAACTGACTAGAAGGTTCCCCAAGCACAGGGGGCCTGGACATGCTGTATGGCAGCCACTCTGCCTTTCTGGGCCTCTGGATGGGGACACTGGGGGGACCTGGCAGCTCCTGCCCCTCAAAGGTCACAGTCGCACCTTCAGCGTTTGTGTTTCTGCCTATTCCTGACCTAAGCAACAGTCAGCGCTGTGAAAAGAAGGGCGTGGGGGCACCGAGCCCATCCGGGACGCACGCTCTGAGAATGGCCCCAGGCCCCCCAGGTCTCACTGCGAGGAGGCTGTGGGCCGAGCACTGCACAGCCCCTGGCCACCTCTGCGGAGAATGGTCCCAAAGACAAGCCCAGCTTAGCAGGAGCCCCTCCAGGGGTGTGTCTGGACACAGCCTGGGGTCTCCCACAATGCCCCACACACAGTGGATGGCACAGCCGCATGGGTCACGCTGAGCACTGGCTGTGGCAGGAGGGACCTGGCTCCAGAGTCAGAGCTGGCTCAATGTCACATGCCCACTGGGGACCCCATCCTGCCACCTCCCTGGGTGCCAGGCTCCACTGAGGCAAGCAGGGAACAAAATTGTGGGGAACACAAGGGCCACTACCCCTCCTTCAGCCTTAACTCTGACAATCTCAAGGGGCTCTGTGCGTTCCTTTGAGATTCTATAATTAGGAATTCTGAGGAGCTCAGTTTCCATGGCAATCTCGCGCCTTGCACGCTGACAAGACGTAGAAAACACATTTTAACACACTAAGCTTGGAGCAGCAGGCTGGGACAGGTGACAGCCCTGGGGTGTGGGGGCGGTGAGGGAGGGGCCGTGTCCCTGGCAGCAGGTCAGGGGGCACTTGAGGGCTCCCTGTTCCCTGGACACGGCACTGCTACATGGGGTGACCAGCACAGCCCAAAGCAACGCCAGAGGACAGGCCTGCGGTGTCCAGACAGGGGCAAGTCAGGAGCCAAGCGACATGCAGACAGCCAGGTGCCTCCTATGGTGGCCCAGGTCAGTGACCAGGAAGACGGGATAGTGAGGTGCCCTTGGGACCCGGGGTCCCCAGAAGCCGGGGTGCAGCTGTCACCAAGGGTGCGGGTAAAACGGGCACTGCCACCTCCAGACTCCGCGTCTTCCCTGGGCAGTGACTTCCACTGGATTCTGAGCTCCAGGAGCTAGGGGCCGCCTGCCTTCCTCTCCAGCCTCCGCGGCACAGTCAGCTGCCAGCATGTCCTGGGCAAATCGAGACATGAGAGTAGCAGCGACCACCAATGCATGTCCAGAGCTACCGTGTCCCGGCGCTGCCCACGGCCCAGACGCTGGAGTTCGGGGTTTTGGGTGGGACTCTCCACTTTGCCTCACTCAGCCTGGTTGGCCATCAGTCCACAAACTGACCTGCACCCTCTACGGTGGGCACTGGGCCACCCTGGCAGGGGACTGTCAGGAACAACAGGGCACACGGACGCGGAGTCCTAATAAGCCACCAAAAGCCGCAGGAAAACGCCATTCGCCTATTTACTGATGCAGAGCCCCCGAGCCTTGGCTACCCTGCACCAGGGTTCCCACCGCCTTTCCGGCCGGAGCGCCCCCGGCAGAGCTGCCTATCAGTCCTTCCTTCCTTCTGCACTGGAGAGTGCCCGCCATGCAGGCACCGTCAGAGGGGCTGAGGGCGGTGGGAGACAGGATATGGGCTGGTGGGATGGGCCAGCAGGACCGGAGTGTGAAGAGAAACAGGGAGGAGCACCCGAGGACCCGGGTGGCCCAGAGCGGGGGCGGGGCAGTGGAGGCGCAGCCCCTCCGAGGGACCAGCCCGGATGGCAAGGCTGAACTCAGACTTCCATTTCTAACTAGGACCTATTTCCCAGCTGAAAATGCGACTGAGAACATGCTATGCTTTTAACAGGGACTAAAGAATAACACAAAGCCATAGAAGCAGATGTGGAAAAAGGTTTCGGGCACCGCTGTGGTGGGGACTGGATGGCTGCCCGGGGCACAGGGTCTGTTTCGGGGATGGGCAGCCACCGCCCAGGCTCCCACAGAGGCAACCACTTCCCGCTTCCTATAGCCACTAAGTGCAACCACACGGCACAGAAGAGCTTGAGAGAAGAGGCACAGCCAAGGCTGAGTCCGGCTAACGGGGAGCCGAGCTCTGCTGATTTCTGTCCTCTCACATCCAGGTACATGGGACACCCAGACCCCTGGGAACAGGCAGGGCCTGGCCCTGTGGGTGCCAGGGCCATGTGGTGTGGCACGGCACAACGGGTATCACAGGGACAGGCAGGTGGAAGTGGGGCCCAGGAGGGATGGGTGGGCGTGTCCCTGGGACGATGCAGCAGCAGGAGGGCTCCTCAGGTAGTGGCGCCCCTCGGGGAGGTGACCCCAGGTGAGGGGCGGGCGGCAAGCCTGGGCCAGTCTCACAGTCCAAGCCTCAGGTCCCCTTGTGGTGGAGCTGGGCAATGCCATTCCCCAGCCATGGGCCATGGCCACAGCGTGCAGCTGCCCCCATGGGTGGCTCTGACGCCCGAGGCCTTGGGCTTGCTCATCTGGGGTCTAAGCCAATCAGACGAGTGCATTCCTCGGTGATGTCATGGGCCCAGGGTAGCCAGATGACCGAGACATACAATCAGCTTGGAGTGGGCAGGGGGCAGGGTGGGCAGGGTCCCCACACAGAGAGGCCAGGGAGTGAGCTGGGCTACCCACCAGCAGCACATGGACACATGGCGGATGAGCTGCCCATCACCTGTAGCCAAATAACCTGTGGGCAGCACCCGCCTGGGCCACTGCCCCAGCCAGGCAGCCCCTGCAGCCCAGGCCAGCAGACCAGCCCGCCGAGGCCACCAATGCCAGCAGACTTTGGTTTTTAAAAGTCTATGAAACAGAGCCTTGTTCACTGAGGAAGAGTTTCCGGTGGAGGAAACAAACAGGCCTTGGCAGCCGGGTCTCTGGTGTCTGCTGCCGGCAGGGGCAGGAACCACAACGGGAACACACGCTGGATGCTGTGTGAGAGGCCCCGCAGGACCCCCGGGGGACGCTGCCCCAGGCAGCCTTGGACAGAGTGATCGGGCAGCAGCTTCAGGACAGGGCTACATCCTTGGGCCCTGGCAATCCCACCTGTGGGAACTCAGCTGCCTGACGCCTTCCCACAGTGGCCAACGTGGACACCTGGGACAGGAACTGCACTCCGTGGAAAGAGAAGGAAGTGGTACCTGTCGGCGAGAAGCAGCCAGCGGCTCCTTCCAGGGAGCAAATCCCCGCGTGGATGGGAGGAGATCCTGGCTTGGACGCGTGGCCCCCGAAGGACAGCCACTGTGACATGGACTGCCCGAGGGGCCCTGAGCAAATCTGATGGGGAAACCTGGTGCTGCCCTCCGCCCAGGCTCCAGCCTCCTTCGAGTACTCGGGCCTACCTGCAGAGGAAGGTGGGGGCACCACAGAGCCCGCTGAGTTTTCCTGGGCTCCCTGGGAGAGTGTCGAAGGTCACAGGGACCCATGGTCACTCTGCATCTTGTGGCCAGCCCAGGGCCCCCTGTCTCCCTCCTCAGGGGAGCAGGGCTGGGACAAGGGCCACAGCGTCTGGTTCCCAAGAAGCCAGGCCCCCCACAGTGCCCTCTGTCCGCAGACGCTGTTGGCAGCCGTGCGGGAAAGTGCCCCAAGAGATGTTTGCGGAAGGAATTACATCCCAACAGTTCGGCCTCACAGTCAGTTCTGCTGAAAACACCCTAATTTGTTGTAACATAAATCAAGGTTTTGTGAAATGACTGAGAGCCTGGCCGGTATTTTCAGTTTCCGTGGAAAGATGTATGCCAACTTCCAAGCAGTCGGCTGTAAATAAATTCACACCAAATACCACCCCTTCTACGGAAGACTTTTTGTTCTGGATTCACTAACACAAACAAACACTTCAATGCCAACAAGAAGCTGCTCACTGCTGAGCTCCGTGTCCCCCACCCGAAAACAGACCCGAAGGGCCTGGCTCACAGCCACACCAGCAAGGCCGCGGTGCGCACGTGCAGCTGAGTCAGAATAACTCAGAACCAGGAACTGAGCCGCGAGGGGACGCCATGCACCTGGTGGGAGTCCCAACCTCCTCCCATGAACAATCCGTAAGAGCCGGAAAATGTGCAAAACCGTGTTGGAGGCATCTGAGGAGGCGGCGGCGCCAGAGAGATGCGCCACTAGGCTGCGCGTGTGCAGGCGCCTGAGGACCCTCCAGAGGCCACGCAGAAAGCCGGGCCGGCCATCCCACCGGAGACAAAAACCAAAACCAGGGTTCAGGGCCGCTGACGCCACCAAGAGCCACGACTGCCTCAGTCAGCTCAGCTGCCATGCAAATTACCATGGGCTGTGCGGCTTCAATGACAGGCATTTACTTTTTCACGTTTCTGAGGCTGGAGTCAGGATGAGGGCACCCGCAGGGCTGGTCTCTCCTCGCCGGCTGGCGGCCGCACGCTCACCATGCTCTCACGTGGTGGGGAGAGCACAGGCACAGCCTCTCTTGCGTCTCATCCTCTCATCCTAGAAGGGTAGGATTTATCCTACCACAGAGGCTCTACCACCATGGCCTTACCTACCTAACACCATGACCCTAACTAACTACCGCTGTGGCCCTAACTACTACCATGACCCTAACTA